GTGCTTCCAATATTCTGCAGGCTTGCTTCTGGAAGAGTTTCCAATATTCTGCAGGCTTGCTTCTGGGAGTGCTTCCAATATTCTGCAGGCTTGCTTCTGGGAGTGCATGTCACCCAATCCACAGCTTTACCTAATCTGGTGTGCACCTTTTTTGTTGACAATTTTCCTTCTACCCCTGTCCAGAAGTTTTATGCCTGCTGAGCTGAACATGTGGATTTTTAAATCTCTTTAAAATCATTTCTGAAGAGTTCTTGAGACTAGCTAAATGTGTGCCTACCATTTAAAAGTGCCTATTTTATAATGCATAGAATGTTTTTTTTTTAATGTCAGTGGAGCTGGTCTCCATTGTTTTGTTTTGAGCGAATTGGCCAAACTGAGATGTTACTCTACATTCTCCCCAGGATGCCTATGGAGACACAGCGTTACATGATGCCATAGGCAAAGAGAATCCCACGATCATAGAACTTCTAGTCAACTACGAGAAAATAGATTTCCGGTTGAAGAACAAGAGAGGATTTAATGTTCTGCACCATGCCGCCCTGAAAGGAAATGTTTTGTAAGTCAGAGACTTAGTGGGAGATTCACTGGTTCTTGCCATCATTGGTTAATGAGATGTAAGGGTTATGACTTTTGTTTTGTGTTTCTCAGTGCCACAGAGAAAATACTTCAGAAGTGTAAAGATATTGTTGACATCAAAAAGGATGATGGGTTCTCTTCCCTTCACCTGGCTGCTCTCAATGGTCATAGAGATGTCGCACAAACATTACTTCAGGTATGTCATCCAATCATTTCTTTGTGAAGGGGCTGGGGGCCATATGAATGCTTGACTCTGTTTAAATATGTAAACTAGTTTTAGATAGTGACATATCTAGGAGATATGGACATAAGGACATTGTTGCCTAGATTCTGTTTATTTAGGGTTGGACTGTATTTAGTATGCATTTAGCCAATAGACATATTTCCATAAATGCTTTTGGGATTCTCTTTGAACCGGTTGAACCAAAATAAGACATAAAAATAATAGGATAATTAGATAAATGCATTCAATATTCAAATTATTCGAATTCTGTGGTTTGATGTGTTTCTGGAATTCAGCCAGATGGAGAATTTTAAAGTCCTAATGACCTTTTTTTGTTTTGTTTTCATGCTTTACTGAGAGCTGTGGGTCCAATCTATTTTCTGGACCAGTGGGGGAGGGGAGTATCTGGGAGAAGGTTTCTGTGCTGCCTTAAGGCACACAGCAAACACAACTCTTCTTATGCCTGGATTTGAATTCAAGCCCCCTTGTTAGGTGTTCAAGCGGTTTGGGCCTCTCAGCCACACAGATCAACACCCTTTTGTAAACAATGAACAGTTTCACATTTCTTTTATGAATCCTGTTGTTACCCCACCTCTGTCTGATCCTGTTACCTGATACACAATCCAGCCCCTGGTGTGAATATGCTGAGCAAATAAAGAGGAAATCATTGTACACAGCACACAGCTCTGGGGCACTTAACTTACTTAAAGAACTTGAAGACTTTTCTAAGGCTCTGTTTGTCCTGACATTGTGTTCCATTTCTTACATTTATTCATACAGTTCAATGCTGACATAGAAATAAGAAACAACCGACAGCAGACCCCATTGTTGCTGGCAGTATCTCAAGGTCACACTGCCATCATAGATCTACTGGTAACACGGGGTGCCAATATCAACGTGTCTGACGAGGACGGTGACACATGTCTCCACTTGGCCTTGATGAGACAAACAGTGGCAACTGACAAGGAGAACTCTGCTGTTCTCACTGCGGTAGGTCTGATTATTGATAAGTTTTGTATTGACAGTTTGATCATTATGTAGTGATTAGTTTTTCAAATCTCAAATATTCTTGTTTATTGACAAGTCGTTATAGAATAAGACATTCCTTCAAAAGAGAGAATCATCCGTCCTAGGCAGATCCATGTGTTAATCTAGTTGTGCATGTTAATTACAGAGACAAGATATAAATCACTTTTCTCTAATTGCTAATAATCATTATTTGTGTATACAATTGTAGCATATTCACTCCTAATTGTGATACAATGTGATTGAAAGTTACAAGAAGTGAACACAATTTTTTTTTTTGCTTTCTGTCTCATACCTAAGGGAACGTTAGTTGTTTTAAAAAAAAAATCAAATGTTCTTTGTTCTTTTTATTTTCTTTTTACAAATATGTCTGTTTTATTGGCTATCCCGCTTCTTTTATTTAGAAGAGCTTAATTTATTTGGAAGAATTTTGCACCTAATTCTTAAAAGCATGGAATGTATTCCAACAAATTTTAAGTCTAAAATTATAATGTCCTACAGGGAACTCATTATCCATTATATCTTATTTTATGTTAAACAGAAAGTCAGAAAAGAACTTCAATGAAAAATAGCTTCCTTTTTTTTTTTTTTTTTTTTAATAATTATTTTCATGTCTGTGAAAATTATTTTTTTTTCCAAGTGCTTGTTTTTGTACCAGCTCTGAAGTTAGTGACTTACTTTCAGATCCGCACCCAGTTGGGAATGACAGAGAAAGAAGAACAGAATGGTGCTGCTATAGCCTGCTACCTGGCCCAGCAAGGAGCAGACTTGCATCATAAGAACCACCATGGCAAGACTCCCTTGGAGGTGATCAGTGACCCAAAGATAGAGGAGGTCATCAAACAGTTTGCCACAGCGTTGTGAGTTCATGTTCTTGTCCTAACATTTCATAATTGTTTTAATGACAAGAGTTGTCTTTATGTTACAAGAGCTACTGTTATTCTCTTTACTTAGTGAAATTATTATTTGCAGACTTGACCTACTGAACTTGAACTATAACATTGTCCCAGTATCTTGGGCACTTGATAGACAGAAAATCAATTATGCAAACTTAAAAACTTTCAACCTTTTGGTTTATATTTAAATTCTCTTTGAATACAAAAACAATTGATGAAAGATTTAATTTTCAATTCATACGTTCCTTGTCAGCTTCGAGTTTTTCTGTCTACTGACTGTTTGGTTCATTTTATCTTTAGTCTAGAAAATTCTAAAATCAGATGAAAAGCCTTAAAAAAAAATGTTAAGAAAATTCCCCCAAAATTCAAAAAGACCTCCAGAATTGATGCAAGTTAGCCAGTAATAACTAGAATGTTGGCGCTAAATCAAACTAGAAAAATCCAGTGCTGTGTTTACAGCAAGTATTATATGTAACTAGTACTTTTGTTTAGAATATTTGCATTGAGTGCCAACAATTACTACAGTATGTTGTTTATGTTTTATTGGGGAAAAAAGAGATTGCTAAAATTTCTTGTCTCACTCCAATCCATCAAACATGAACATCTAAAATCTAATAAAAATTACTGTAGTATGATGTATGTTTAAAATCCTCAAATTCCTTGTATCTCTCTCTCAGTTCCATCAAACATAAAAATCTTTCTGCCAGACAAGTCAGGCCAGTGCTGAGAGAGTGTGCCATTTGTGACAACAAGACCTCCCTGGTGACCTTTGTCCCCTGTGGTCACACGGTGGTGTGTACCATCTGCTGCGTCAAGATGAAGAAATGCATTGAGTGTAAAGTTTTGATTGACCAAAAGAAAACACAAGGTAATTCTTTCTTTAGGGATGTTGCTCATTGAACTGCAAAGATGTGTATATCCTGTCTGTGTGTAACATTCAAAGTTTTAATATACAGTGTAGATTTTGTCTAAAACTATTATCTGTGTTGCTGCTTCACATTTGTAAAGTCAGCTTTTAGGTTAATTTTCAAGTGGCTGAATAGTGATTTACTTGATTGTCACACGGAGTTCAATTTCTAGACTTGAAGATTATTTACTTGGAATCGGTAGATATTGAAATAGTCAGCCTAGTCCTAATGGGGACTTGTCATGTATTTAGTCATTGTAAGTGTTAATTATATTTAAAACAGTGATAAAATATTGAAACAACAGATTTAAAACAACAATGTTAAATTTGAATAAATTAAAACAATCTTAGTCAACCATGGTGACTAACCCTTGATACTTCTTGACTTCTTGTTCTATGACCGTCATGCTCTATGACCTTATCCTCCATTTTTGTATCCTCACATTCATTGGGGTTTTCCCCACTATTAAAACCATTCTAACCATAAAATAAAATGAACCACATGCCTCGTGATCTTTGATTTGTTGATGTTGTTGTTGATAGTTTTAGATTTAACAATTGTGTCTACAACATTTTTTGTCTCTGTGTAGATGGTCAAGTGGTCAACCCGTCTGACTTAGCCACAAACTCAGAAGAAGCATTGTTGAAGAGAAAATTGCAGGAACTTGAAGACACCATCAACTGTCCCATCTGTATGGAGAGACATAGGAACAGGGTGTTCCAGTGTGGTCATGCAACCTGTGGCATCTGCGCAGAATCCCTCAAGAACTGCCCCATCTGTAGGAAACAAATCCGACAGAAAATCAATTTGTTTTGAACATTATCTGTAATTTTTCGTTCGCTTTATGACATTGTATATAATCCAATAGCTCTTGTTCACATTGTCCAGGAACAATGCAACAGTCAGGATTTTTGGAATCATGACCGACTGAAAGCTGTATATAAATATCTTGGCATGGCATTCAGATTTACAAGACAACACTATGCCTCAAATGTTTCTCTCGTGTTGCTGTGTATTATTTTGTTTCTAGTTCAATGTTCACTCAAACATTTCCGTCGACTATTACCAGTGTGTGAGATTTGACCCAGAGTTTGATTGATACACTTTGACATAGCTTTACCATGTATAGATCATTTGATTCTTCATGTGCGCAATAGACACGTTTGTCTACCACACTGAGCTCTGTTGAGTGTGTATAAAAAAAAACTTTGTTTCTCAAGCTCCCCTTGTCACTGTTGTAACCAACAAGTTTTTGTTGTATTGGACTCTGCTCTGGTCCATTTGATATATTACAAGGAATATAACTGTTAAGCAGTGGCATTGCAAGATCAAGAATATGGTGGTGTCGTCGTCCCCCCCCCCCCCCCCCCCCCCCCCCCCCCTCAAAAGAAACTCAAAAGTTGATAGTGACCAAAAAAAAGAGTTATCCTGCATGCATCAATATATTTACAAACATACTTTTATTTATGTACCACTTTTTTCAAGTACAGATCTAATGAAGCTAGCATCGTTCTAGTACATCTCTTTGAAAGGTTTAAAAAAAAAAGTGTTCTTTCGATGGCTATTTTTAGTTATGGGCCCTGACACAATGAACCCTTCATGCTATGATTGCTACTTCACTGCTGTTATGTCAGCTCAAATAAAGATAAATGTTTGGAAAGTCTGGGAAAATTTCTTGTCAGATTTCAAAAAGTTGGTATTTTTCTTTCTGGCACTTGCACTAGGTGTGCTTCAGAGATTTTTGCTTGACCAAATACTGACCTAAAGTAAGGGATTGTATAATATTGACCTAAAGTAAGGGATTGTATAATACTGACCTAAAATAAGGGACTTCATTTAACATAAAGTTTGGGATTTTTTTTCCAAAAAAAATCTGTGTGTCTTAAATGTTTTAAAGTATGAAACAGATGGAATGAATGTATTATAACCAGTCTCAGCTACCATTGAGCAGGTTGTCCAATGTATCACTGGATGCCAGGGATTAGAACATGGATAACTTTTGTTTGGGTGTTTTTTATTTCCTGGAGGGCTGGTTTAGTTTGATTAATTCCTTGTTTGTTTATTTATTTATCAAAGAAAATACTTTCTCTTCATGTAAAAACCTGCCAATGTTTCACTGTAGGAAATGTACAATTTGTTTTTGTTTGTAAAGTTGCATTGCATATCCTGGATTAGGGTCTGGATGACTCAATATTTGTAGAGTTTTTTACAATTTTTTTAAACTTCTCAAGTTGTTACATAACTAGAGTCAACATTTTATTGGAACTTATTGACATTATTATAACTGCTTTATTAGTTCTGCCTAGTTGACTCTACCCACTTTGTTTTTTAATGAAGTTAGGATACCCAAAAATAGGTGCTTTAAATTTCACTTCTTCTGTGGCTAATAGTCTTTAGGCTGCCATGCTATTCAGTGGTATATCTATTTAACTTTTTTTCAGTTTTATTTTGAATACCTGACAGTGAATCCACACGTACATCTAAATTTGGAACCCTCTGGCCCCCAAAGTATTTGACTTCATCCACCATAGTCAGCTTTACAAAGACATTTGTTTCCTTCAGTAACTAGGTTCACTGCTATATGAAATAGAATGAAATGTTTGATAGGGTAGGCAATTTATTGTTAGATGAAATAGAATGAATTGCATGATAAGGGAGACAAGTGTTGTTTGTTTCTGTATTATGAACATCACAATGATATCCCCTGTCACTTAACATGAAGGTAGACCATCACTCAGACATGAACTCTTGCACCAAACTTTCACTTGTGAAGTTTACTTATTAAAGGAATTAAGCTGGGAGATTGTTAAGTCTAAAATTATTAAAGTAAAGTTGTTTCTTTTAAATGCCACATACATATAAAATATTCAAATAGAACTCTGAACACTCATAATTTTCTATTGAAACTGGGATTTTGTATTTATTTACAAGTAACTCATTACTTGGACAAGTGAATTATGCAGAAACAAATGTCTACTCTATCTGTGTGTATGTCAGTATTGTTTTGAAATTCATACACAATTGTTTACATTACCTCATAACTATCTGCTGAACCTGGAGTCCGCAAACCACAAAACCCTTTTTTTATTTTGGTGCTGCCTACATTATGTCCAGCAAGTGATGATATCTCTTATAATGTGTATCTATCATCAACACTCTAGTACATTTTAAAGATAGTATCATGTAAAAGTACATTTTAAAGATAGTATCATAGAATGATCATCTTGATTTGATCTTGCAGGTTTGTCTTATTTTTTTTAATAAACCCTTTTACTGCAATACTGTCAGATATGTTTTTCTCTGTGACTAAGACTGTGGCCAGTTCAAAAAATAGGTTCTTGGTTCCTGATACATTGTAGCATTCATTTAGGTTAGAAAAATGAGAAAATGACTTTTTTAAGACAGACCTTTTGCTTCATTTTTAATTCAGAATAATTTTGACCTTGTGATTTTTTAATTATTTTTTTTTAACTCTTAGACATTAAAAAATGTTCAAAATGGATTATAGAATTACTTTTTTAAGTTGACTTTCTACAAGGCAAATTTTAAAAGTTTGGCTTCACTCTTCACATTCCAAACTGTTGATTTCTCCTAAAGCTACATGTGAAATGACAGCTTGACTTTCCTAGCAATGTCTTCCTAGTTGCTTACCATGTCTATGAGTTGTTTGCTTTCTAGAGTTCCTGTTTTTAGGATCACTCGGTGAGGCCTACAATCCTGTACAAGTGGTAGATGTGTGTCTCTGTTCATAGCAAGGTTAGCATGCAACATGTATTGGCTTGATTTGATTATGTATTGGCTGTTTGATTGACTCATCACACATTTATATGTGAATTGTTTGTGTGCCCATGAAGACTATTTCTGCCCAGCCCTGTCCTCCCAAGCTTGAAAATTGACCCACATACTGTTTGTTTCCTAGATAGTACCGGTACATTTTTGTTTCTATTTGACAAGCCAGCTGTCTTAACCGAAAACTTCTCCATAACCATAGAGTCAATCTTGCCTCTATAGCTTAGACTTGATCTCTTTGTATTTTTGTATTAATGTGAAAACAAAGTTGATTTATTTAATTGGGTTGTCTACCTTTTTTATCAATGTATGAAAAACTAAATGTCTTAGGATTAAAGATTCTGGTGTATTAGTTGATTAATTCTTAGCTTGTAGTATTTTTACCTGGTCAACTTTCCCCGATTTCTGCACCCCCTGTTGGTGATTTCCTTTTGGATTATATCCATGTCAATGAGTGCTTCAATGTCAAGGCTGGCAGATATCTTGAAGCTCAAGGAAACACATTATATACTAAATATTCTATGTACATGTCAAATCTATTTATTGGTAAGCCAAGAATTTTTATTTTTTTTATCATGTACAGTTAGATTTTTTTCATGAAAAAAAAAGGGGGGGGGGGGGGTATGAGACATAAAATGTGTGTTCTGTTTTCTCTGTTAAGTTGAAGTTTTGGTTATCAAAGAGAGATGATAACACTTAAAATGTTTAAGAAATGAAAATGTTTCTTTGAAAGTTTGTATGTAATGTTAGTTTTTTCTGAGGTATGTATATTGCTTAACAATAACCAAAAAAAAAAGTCAATTTGACTGAATTTTAACACAAATTTTGTGTAGTTCATGGAATTTCAATTAATCTGTAAAGTGTAGGAGGGCTGAATCTGTTCTTTTTTCAAAGTTTAGTAGAAATATTTTTGTTTTGCTCTTAGCAAAGAAAAAAAAGAATTTTTTTGCATATTTCTATTATAGATACTACATTTTTATTAAAATTGTATATTAAGTTGTGTTTGTAAATAAAATTGAAAATAAATTTAAATTTGATTATTATATCAATGTGTTATTTTTTCTCTGTAATCACATTTTTCACTTTTGTAACATCAAGTAAATGTTTTGTTCTTGATTAAAAAAAAGAAAAGATTCTATCTCTATCATTGAGCGTCATTAGTCTGAAATTTTGAAAAGTGATAAAGTGGTCAGTTTTGTTTTTTAAATTTTTTCAAATAATTCCAATAAACCCCATGCATTGAACTTGACTTAATCCTTTTGACTCTCAGTGGAGCATGGACGTCTCCAGTGGAGCATAGGGCCTCAAAAGTTCTTCTCCATACTGTTCTGTGCTACCTCCTTCAGTTTTGTTTTTTTTTTAATTATCATTGCACACCTTACATTCTTATAGAATGCTCAAAGTGCTATGACCCAATCTTTTTATGTTGACCAGATGGGGGAGAGGGTATCTGGGAGGTTTCCATGCTACCTTTAGGCTCTCAACAAAAACAGCTTGAGTTGGGATTTCAACTGTACCCTCATTGATAGGCAGCCAAGCTTTTTTTGCCTCTTAGCCAGACATCCCACACAGTTGGGTCCTTGTTCATTCTGCATGGCTTCTTGGAGCTCCTCCATTTTGATTTGGTCTCTCAGCTTTTCCCTTGTGGGCTCCAGTCTGGAGTCAGTTTTCCAATACTTTCTGATGTTCTTCGCATTGTAATATCCAATCCAGCCACTTTTGCGTCTGCTCAAGTCATCAGGTTTGTGCTGAGCTCAACTTTAAAGGCCGTCACCCAAGTAAAATTGTGGAATGCAAGAGCTAAACTAGATGGTAAGGCTATATTTTTTAAAGGCAGCTGTAGTCTGCAGCTCAAGGAACATTTTACTGTACTTAAGACCCTGACATTTAATTTTTTGTTACGTTTTTAATCAAGTTTGTTTCTGACTACCAATATATATTTCAAAAGAATCTTAGCACACCCCAAAACAACTTTTGCTACAAGCTTTTTATAGAAATAAATTGTAAGAATTCAGAAAATATTTTTTAAAGCACATATAAACTTATGAACCTGGGCTGGTTTGCTGTATGAAGTTGAGAGTTTGTATACAATTAATAGTTATAATCCTCCAGTAAATTTTTGGACTAGAATGACATTAAAATTAGTTAAATATATAGTATTATCCTGTTTCTACTCTCTTCATTTGTGATGCAGTCATAAGTAAGTGATACCTAGGATATTTCTGTAACATTGCAATTCTAATGCTAGGGTTCTCCTCTCGAGATCAGCGTCCAAAATTGGCAAGCATATAAGAATGTGGCAGTGACCAGTCTGATTTTAGTGTCGAGGGCTATGCCTTTGTCTTACCAGATTGTTTTGAGTTTTACAAATACTGCTTTGGACTGTGCAATTCTGGCCAGTTGTTCAGATTGGGCCCCATGATGACATGCTAGGCAAACTTAAACTCCATGGCCATATCACAAGATCCTCAGGGCTCGTAAAGACCTTCCTTCATGGTAAAGTACAAAAAAAAAAAAAAAAAAAAGAGGCAGACAGAGACAGTAATGGGAAGACAGCATAAAAGAATGGACAAGCATGTCATTGAAAGAGGTTCTATTCAAGGCAAAAGACAAAGATGAAACAGGTCTTGTGTGGTGCCCCAACGGTTCAACAGATAAGGGTTAGGTGAAAGTAACCAATTTCTTGAACTGTGTTTCTATATTTTAGACCATCTATATTCCTTACTGTTTACTTGGTATAGTGAAACATAGTTGGTTTCATCCAATAACTTTAATCCATTGAGATTCTGAAGGGACTTTTCACATTTTAGAAACTATAGTGAGCTTATTGAAGCAGCTGCCTAGTTATGTGGTTAGTGCTTCGGGCTCTCGTCATGAGAGTTTCAAGTTTGAACCCTGTTCACTGCTACCTCTCTGTCATCCTACAAGAAGTCTGGCCAAGAAAATTATTATCTTTATTTCTGAAGGAACATATGAAACTTGAAAAACAAAGCAACCCGTGTATTTTCTAACTTCATCTGTGCTGATCAAGGAAAACTAAATCTAATAAAATACTCAGAAAGACACAAAGATAAAGGCACATTCCTCATTCCATATGATAGGACAAATTTGTACAAATGCACCTTCTTCCCTAGTGCTAGGAAAACCAATGACTTGGCAGAATTTAAGTCATTGGTTAACATGAATGACTAGATGCATGACGCGTAGGACATAATCATCATCTTTTTTTGAAGTAACGTCTGTATTATATAAGAGAAAGAAACAAACAAAAAATAGTCTGATGAAATGCCCCCATGTCAAGCAACACATGATGCAAGCACAAAAAAGCAGTCCAAAAAAAAAAGTCACTTCTTTGCTTTTTGACATTTTTTTTTTCAAGACAAAGAATGTAACTCCTGGCCAGCACATGAAGCGTACTTTAAGAATGTAACTCCTGGCCAGCACATGAAGCGTACTTTAAGAATGTAACTCCTGGCCAGCACATGAAGCGTACTTTAAGAATGTAACTCCTGGCCAGCACATGAAGCGTACTTTAAGAATGTAACTCCTGGCCAGCACATGAAGCTTACTTGTCTAAGTTGTCTTGTAGTTAATCAGCTGTCTATGTTCATTGCCCCATTGCATGAACAACACTAGCCAGGAATAAGTCAATCCTCATGAAACACAGAAATGTTAACTAAATGACACTATGGCATTCACATCACTTAGAGCTTATACAAAATGTTTATTCTAGCCCTCCTGCATTCAAATGATTAGATTACAACTTGCAAGCAATAGAATTCAACCAATAAAACCATTTTAATATTCTTCAAGAGTGAAAGTAACAACAACAAAAATAAAATTTACAGACAACTCAATTAACTATGGCAGTATAAAACTAATAACATCTGTAATAACAGGTGACAGATGTCTACTATTGAATCATAAAATGATTATGAACTGAAAAAGTGGAACTGTTAAGATTCTAAAAATAATGGGAACTAAAACATTTAGTTGGAACTCTCAACAAAAAAAAACAAGCAAAATATATCTAATGGGAAGAATTCCACATTTACATTCATTTATCTCAATATTGTAAAGTAATTTCCCTTATTCAATATCAAACAAAATTAATTGATTGCCACTATTTAATTAATTAATTGGTTAATCTTTTTATTGATTCATGTTTTGTTAGGAATAATGAATAATTAAGCAAAGCTTCAACTTGTTCAGAGAATGGGAAGTAGGAGAAATGATGTGTTTAAAATTTGTGCCAGACAGATAGACGGAGCGAGTTGATAAAAGCTTTGTAAAACAAACACACACAAAAATACCTTAAATAAAACTTACTATGTATTTTATTATTTATTTTATTTCATTTTATTAAAAGCTGGTTCGGAAGGGGAATTAAGAGGAATAAAATAGAATATAAGAAATTATCAGATAATTGTTTTTTAATATTCTCTTACACTGATTTACTTCAATCTAAAACCAATCAAAATCCTCTGACTCAGCCCATTAGAATTTAATCTCCAACCACCCACTTGTGAATGGAACAGATTTAATAAATCTTTTTTCTTTTTAAAAATAGTTTTTTAAATTTACTTTCAGTTCAATAAACCAATCAATAGATCTCAGCTCAATGTTGAAACCACTAAGCAATTTGTATCTTTCATTGTGCTATAAACTTTTTGTGCAATTTAATTTTAAAAAAAAACAGCATCTAGACTGTAGTCATTCATAGAAAAAGTGTTTTGTTTTCTATTTTAGAAATAAGATAAAAAATGTGATTTCTTAAATAAAACAAAAACGATCCATAACTGCAAGTTACCAGCAAAGAAAAATTCAATCATTTTATAGAATGCCTGGTATTGTCAACCAAATGAGATGATTTCACTATTTCCAACTTTGCCTCAACATTCAGGCAAAATATAAAAAGTTCAACCTAAAAAATTTTACTTTGAAAAAATGATGTTCCTTCAGATTCTGAAGATTACATTGTAGCCCCCCTCAAGAAGGATGACAGGGGATGGCAGAGGGCAAGGTTTGAACCTAGGACATTGGACACCACTAACTGAACACAATTATCTTGGAGCATGATTGTAAACCTACATTCTTTATCAGGATAGATCTACCTGACGGCAAAAATTAAAATAAGAAAATACCACAGCCTTCACTACAATTCCATTTGTATTAATTTTCTATGTTTAGTTAAGGACATCTTAAACATCCAGCAATGGTTGAGAGCCCAAAGAGCAGCATGCATTATGTCAATATTTAAAAACAGTATGGAATAGCTCTGACATTAACAAGATACAAAATAAATGTGCTATTGTGTATCACTATCATTGCATTCAAAGTTTCTCACAGTTTAAAGTCAGATGATTCTCTTACTTAGTCACATCATTCATTAATATTTTATTAATAGAAAAACACGATTTTTACCAGTTGTCGTGGCTCATACAGGAGCTTTGTTGAACCTTGCATGATCCTATGTTAGAATATCCTGATACTTACTCAAACACTGCATTCTGTTTATCCATTTCTCAAAAACAATATGCAAGTATCAACAAGTTGACCAGCACAATAATAGTTCAGGGAAAGCCAATACACATTTGTAATTCAAACAAATAATTCTACTTTTTAAAAAACAAGACAAAACTGTTAAGAATACTGGCCGATAGAAGAAAGATTTTTCAGGGAAACTTAGATCAATGTTAGTAATTATATCAGCCGACATAATGCATTTTATAAAATTCAGGAGTTCCTATTTTACTGGTAACATATACGTTCCAGCTTAAGTAATTATCCAATTATCTCAATCCATGTTAATTTACTTGAAAAATAAAAAAACAGACAGTAAAAAATAGATCTGACATTCAAATGTTTAATAGACTTTTGTGCTAACCACTAACATTAGTATAAACAAATCCAAATGAAATAAACACATGGGCAATGACAGATCAAACAAACAATCAGATTTAGATCACAAAATTGTAAGCCAATAACAAAACAAAAGATGTAACGACTGATGCAAAAACAAAGGATGTATATAACAAAAAGAGAAGAGTTGAGAGTTACTGTAAAACTTGTCTCTTCCCATTCACTCGTTGTAACAAGGTCAGAGACTGAAATATAGCATTGAAACATAAGAGGACATTTGGGGGAGGCATACATAGACCAACAGAAAAACTGCTCATATACAGCTCGAAAGGATTCTCTATAAATTACCATTTGGCTATTGTATTTGCCAGTTATTGAAGGCTAGGTACATCTACAGTCAAACTTTAAATTATGCCTGTATATTGTACTTTGACTAAAACAAAAAAAATTGAACATAAAAAAAATCACAGAACCAACAAACAAAAATAGAAAGTTAAAATCTAAAAAAAAAATAAAAACACTCCTTTTCTCTAACACACTAGTTATGAAGACATTTATTTTTGTATGGCTTGTCAATTAAGACTACACTAAAAAAAAAAAATAGTTATGGAAGTTTTGTAGTTTTTTTTTTTAAAAGTAAGTTTGAACTTAAAAAAAAACACACAAATGTTTCTCAGCTCATGGCTTGACTAAAGGGTTGCCCACTTCTTAGGATGAAAACATAATCTTTATGAACTAGCCAGTCACTTGTGGTGCTGGAGCTAATCCTTCACTGGCCTGTCTACAAATATGGCTTGGTGTACTAGTCCCAAATTTGCAAACAATTCACATACAAGGCATAAGAATATGCTAGTTATGACACATAGTCTCAATGAAGCCAGAATGCACTGGGACATCATAGAGAAGATTGGGGGGGGGTTTTTTGTTAATAAATCATTTTATTGCTTTAGATGTATATATTTATAATTATATAAATGTGTACGCATTTAAGATTTAGTATTATATCAATGAGAGAGATTGTATATATTAACAGTAAATCATTAACACTAAGTAAAACTCACCTTATTGTCTGTAAAAATTGTAACATATTTAAACAATAAAACAGACTTGCAACTTACAAAATAGTCGTAAGTTGTTTACATTGAATACTTAGAAATTTTTTTCAGACACTCAACACAATAGAAATCATTTATTGTATATTACATATGTATATGTATATAATAGTTTTATATCAATATTATAACAAGCTTCACCAGAGTATTAAACTACAAGTGGTATAGAACTAATTCTAACAGGAGGATGTAATGGGAATTTTTTTTTAGTCGTTACAGTTTCTTAAGGTCAACAGACATGAAGGCTACTGATAAGTACAGTAGAACTGAAATCTTATATCCAATGATTATTACTGAGTGACTCTTCCAACCAAGCAGTGCTCTAGATGGTCTAGTCACATTAACCTGCATTCATAGAGTGAACAGATTAGTTAAATAACTAGATTTCACTAAATGCACAAATTAAAATTCCACAATGCGGCTAAACCCACTGTATAAGTACCGGTACTCAAAATGTACATGCCCTACAAAAAAAAAAAGGATTTTTTAACAAGAGTGCAAATAGAATATCTATTTAAAGGAAATTGAATCAAACAACATTCAATATAACATTTTGTGAACATGGCAATAAGACATGGTAATATGACATGATAATGACATTATTTGAATGAAAGAATAAAAAACAATTCAATTAACAGAACATCTTATATACACATTAAAGGTCTTTGAGTTGCATGTCAAATACAAAGCACAACATGACAATATGTTAGCTTGAATCAGTTTCCTGAAGGGGACAGACTTAAAGCACACAGCTAAAGCTTTGCTTACAATTTTGTACAAAATTTATAATGACAATTTCAAAACAAAAGTTATGAAATTATGCCTTGTCTACAAAAAAAAAAAAAACTGACATGAGCACAAGTATTTCAGAAAATAAATACATGGCTCTAGCGACCAATGGCTGCACCTCATGAGTAAGAAGCAAAATTTCATTTCATTAGTATAGACATTTACAGTAAGTGCATTTGTGTTTACATTAACTTCCTTCCAGAATTGGTAGATTCATCTCTTTAGGGTTGGCACTATTACTACTGTCCTTTTAAATCCCCTTTTATGTGGGAAGCGTGGTCAAGAGGATAAGTTTGCTTGAACTTGGCTTGGCTACCTATGAAGGGAGCTCGAAGTTCGACACCTGACTCAGGCAGAGTTGTGTTTACTGAGCGCCTAAAGGCAGCACAGAAAAACTTTCTCTTAGATACCCCTCCCCCAACTGGTCCACAAATGAGATTGGACCAAAGCACTCTGAGCATGCTATAAGCATGAAAGTAGTGCTATATAAAAGCCATAATTTTATTTATATGTTCTATGCTTTTATAAAACTATTTCTGTTTACTTCAATAGAAATGAATTTAAAGAGATGAGGCATTCTATGAATGACATGTTTAAATAGATATTAGCATTAGTTTCGGAGAAGAATTATCCAAGAATGCATCTGGTTAAGCTTTTTGTTTTTAAATATGTCTACACAAAAATTAAAATCATTTATTTATGTTGTTTTATGTAAAACAGGATAGTAACATTATAATCAAAATTTAAAAAAAAAAAATGTCTTCTTGTATTGTTTTCTAATAGGTAGAAGACATTTGCCTGCCAACTCTTAAAATGCTGTACAGCCTGTGGTGGTGACGCAATGACTGTTAGGGCCAGATTGAAGAATATTTTAAGTGCAGTGCCCCCATTCCCAATTAGCAGATAATACAAGCTAAGCAGGAGATGCAATGTCAGACACTGGTATGTCTGTGTCCTAACCAGACAAGAATGATGATACGTGCAAAGACTTAACTTAGGCTCATGTTTTTTCCTATTCTATCACCAGCCTCCACAGACTTAGTCACACTCACTACTATGATAGCAACACCACTACTTTTATACTTTATTTTCACACATTTGTATTTTAGATTTTAAATTCATATTTTTCATTGCATATGTTGTAAAATGTTATGTTTATACTTTTGTTACAATACAAAAAAAGACCATAGATTAATTAATTTAAAAAAAAAAAATACCTAGAAAAGTATCAATTTAGAATTTCTTTATACTAGGTTGTAAACCCTTCTAACAAAGTATTTTATTTTTTTAACCACACACAAAAGATATCCTCAAAAGTTTTATTTTCAAAACACAGAATGAAATTGTAGTTTACAGTAAAATCTTGTGTGTTTCATTAACATGGTGCTCACACCATTAGAAATATTTGTTGAGTATACCCATTTGGCAGATTTAATGAAACTGATCCTCATCCCCCTTTCCAAATATAAAATGTTTACATTACTAAATATTTTGTTGTTGTTTTTTTCATTTAACAAATGCTACAAAAATTTTTTTTTTATATCTTAATTTTTGGACCAGAGCTTTTTCTTAAAATGTACAGGTGTTATTTATTGCAGCTATGCAAGTACTTTATAATTAAAAAATAATATTATTGATACTTTTTTCTTGCAACCATATACAAGCATTAGAACAAAAACACAACAACCTAACAAATGAGGCTGTAGACTCACTTAAGTATCTTCATGTAACTCAGTCTCATAAACAACTTCCTAATACAAAGACACACAGATATGAAGTCACAACAGTGATGACCAATGTACAACGGTAACATGGTAGATGTGACATAAGTTCTAGTCAACTGGTAATGCCAACTACAGAATATCTTTTCATCTTTAAAAAAATGGTACTTGAAGAAATGGTATAAATAAACATTGCTGATAGGTCAAACTTGTTAAATCCATACACATGAGTTATAAAACAATATTGACCCAAACACATTATATACAAATCAGTCCTAGAATTAGCTGAGAAACCTAATCTGTAATATTTGTAACACATAGCAAAATATAGAGAAACTATTTAGATTTTGGTACTATGATAGGATTGATAGTGGACAGAGACAGTGGTTTTGTTTAACTATTACTGAACAACTTAGTGTTACTTGAATACTTTCCTATTAGTACTTGCAAAAGTTAAGAATAAAGTATTAAAAAAATAAAAGATACAAACTTTAAAATACCAGTAGCTCTAGGTCTATTCTGTGAGAAATCAATCTATATGTGGGTCATAACTTGGGCATAAGATTTAATTAAATAGTCAAGAGTAGTCAGCATTTTGCTTAAATTTTTTTTTACTAATCATTACCCCCGATAGTAATATGACCAGTAAATTATGGATGAATAAAACAATAAAAACACTTTGGAGTATGAAGTCAACAAAAAAAAACACTATTTGTTCAACTCAGTCACAATTCTAATTGAACTTTTAAACAAGTAAGTCTAAGTGATAAAATATAGTGTCAGCTTTTTTGGCATTAAATACAAACATTTTATAAAGTAAGCATCATAGGGCTTTGTATTCTGGTAGAATAATTAAGTTCACTGACCTCACAATCCTCTCCCAAAACAAAGTTTATCTAACAATATGGTCATGTACATTCAATGATTACATTCAATTTTGATATGTTCCAACTCAAATATGAAATGGTTCTATAACTTAGAATTGATTGGGCAAAGATAAATGCTTAGGGGAAAAAAAAAGCAACAACTTACTGTTATGCTTGTTAAATACAAAAATTGAGACAGAAAAACCAAACATTAGTCTTTGTGATGAAGCCAATGAGCTGCTTAATCTTTTCACCAATGTTTTGACAAACGATTTTATCTTATCTAGGTGCTTATTATGTTGTTTAATAGAGTGCAGTGTTTGGGACATTACATTTCATATTCAATCGCCTAATAAAGAGACAATAGATCTACAGGCTTTAATTTTATCTGACAGATAATACTATCTGGGAAATGTCCTAAAACAATAATTTGTACAGATCAGAACAATCTGGTAAATATTAACTAACATTATTAGTGTGCAGGAGGTATGGTGGCCAACTGGTAAAGCTTCTGAACCAAGGTGTCTCAGGTTAAAATCCCGGTGAACACTACGATTTTGAAATATCTGATGCAACTAAGTTCTTTCCAACTCAAGGTAACTGACATTAGTTGCTGGTCACATGACACCCTCTTCAAAATTATCATAGAATCATTTCTTTTGTGTAAATTTACAACTTATTTAGTATTTTAGACTCTTACCCATTAAGCTCACTACATTCTACATATTTGAACGTTCGATTTTGTTATTCAAACAAGTCATAATTGGTCAAGTCTTATAACCTTACGTGTAAGCTGTGAATAGAAATTTTGCATAATAAATTTTTAAAAAAAAATGTTTCTTCTCAGAAGTAAAACAAATAAAAAGACTTGAAGAACACAAACATAAATGGCAATACATATAATGCATTGCCTGTATTCAATCAAATAAGATAGTTCTTTCAAGCAAATATTCAATTGAACATTAATAGAATGAGAAGTTACTGAAAGTATGGCAGGATATCTGGTTATCAAATCATGAATAAAACATTGTTAAGTAAATATTCAACTCTTGCGGAAGCAAAGATGTATCAGCGACTAGAGGTGAATAATCAATGTGGTATCCTACTCTTGGTCATAAAAGTTACGATGGTATCTGAAGAGTTGAAAATCATTCACAAACTTTCATTGTAGAAATGTCTTTGAAAAGATATTCACAATGGAGGGCAGTGAAGCTGTTGACTGTGACAATAAAGTCATATAACATGGACACAGTCCAAATTAAGAACTAGCCACTGATTAACATGTTTTTGTTTTTTTTTACTCCATTCTGTTAGTTCTACACAAAAATGATACCACAAAAAACCTGTTCAGTTACGAATTGGAGAGAAACAACGTAAATCTTCCTGCTCAAGCGGTGAACGTCCACCTTGAGTGCTAAGATTGCTGGGAAGGTTAGCAGCGCCGACTGACATCTGGCTTGAAGGTGTTGAAGCAGGGGAAGGGTGGAGACCTCCCATCCTTTGAGAAGTGAAGTGGGATTGATGATACAGGCCCATATGGCTGAGGGGCAGGGGGAGAGATGTCAGTGAGGCAGGAGTACTGGAAAGAGTAGATGATGCAGAGGAAGAGACCACGTTAATAGCAGATGTTGAAGAAGATACTGACGATGTTGAGTGGGGCAACATTTGGTTATGTGTAAAATGGTCCCTTATGAGGGGTACATTCAGTGAAGGCAACTGGCCACGCAGGTGGGAGTTGATAATGTGTTGGGGGGACAGAAAGCCTCCCCCACTGTTTACACCCATGGCAGCAAACTGATCTCCTCCTTGGCAGGATGAAGGGAAATAATCCAAAGGCTCCTGTTTAATCTGTTTCATTAGATTACTCAGTCCTCCCTGGCCAGCTCCATGCATCATTCCTTGAATGCTTCCACTCAATCCACCCATACCTGCACCCCGAAGCATTCCTTGGTTGTGTGCTGGAATCTGATTCCTGTTCTCATTGGTGTTACCATTCTGTGGTTGCATGTTATCTCCATTGTTGTTACCACCGGTCCCACCCCGATTGTTTAGGTCACCATGATTTCCAAAGTTGTCTCGGTCTCGCTGCTGTTGCTGCTGGTGAGGCTGCTGTGGGTTGAAGGTGCCAGCTGAGAAGCGGTCATCAAAACTGGAGCCTTGAGAGACTCCCCTGAGATCACCAAAGCGGCTGTTGAGAAGAGCCGCATCTCTGAATGCCAGCTGATCTGAGAAGGAATTCAGAGGGCCACCGAGACTAGACATCATATTGTCCTGCAGCGTAAATCTATTGGCCGAGGCCAGAAGTGCCAGTGGATCTGCACCTCTTGAAAAGTTGCCCATCCCTGTAAACTGAATTTGGTGACTGAACTCATGCCCTCGTCCTCCAGGTCCCTGGAGCAGCTGCCCTTGTCCTCCAAGAGCACCCCCTGCACCCCCAAAATTATCCACCCTGGGGGGACCCATCTGCTCTCCAACAAATATAATTTCATCATCATCAGAAGATGTTG